ACTTAAGTCCATGAATAAGCAACTTTTCACAATTGTTGCTTGGGATCCTCGAGGATATGGACAGTCCATTCCACCATCGCGAGACTTTCCTCCGGATTTCTTTGAGAGGGATGCAAAAGATGCTGTGGATCTTATGCAGGTAAATATATTCTCAGATTTTATTATTTTATATATATATTCGGGTTTTTAAGCTAATTTCTTTAAATTTAGAGGAGAAGAGTACTGTTAAGCTGGTTGTTTCTAGCAAAGTTATGCAAAAGAGCACACAAATGAAGGCTTAAAACTGAGCAGATGCACACTATTCTAGAAAATATTTTCTTCTTCCATCTCTTCTGCAATACACATAGAGGTTCAGCAGTGGGAATTATTTATAAAACAATATGTTTTTATACCAAGACCTGTCCTAAGAGGTTCACAGCCAAGAACCATGTAAGTTTAGGTAAAGTGTGTATAAAAAACAAAGTCTATGCTAAGTGGTTTAGCTGAAGGGATTACAATAGTGAAAGGCTTTTAGAAAAATTTCTAGCTGATAGAATCTTGGCATTTTTCCTTGAGCAGCCCATTTCAAGAGACATTTTATTCTAAACATTAACTTGACACTTTGCATTTTACAGCATGTTACCAAAATAACTTTTATGGGGAATAAAAGGGCTCCTGTGACCATACCACACCTTAGTAACTAATACAGCTATTGTGATTAGAAAGGATATGACCCAAAGCTATTATTACTTCTGTCTTGCAGAATTCTTTATTTCAAATCTGTCTATTTCTCTGTTTCTCTTTTATTTCTCTGTTCCTCTTTTATTATTATTATTTATGTAAGTGCTGACACTTTTTTCTGGTTTAGTTTTAACTAATATTTTGGCTTTGTTACATTAAGCTATACAGTCTTCTTGGAGTTAAGAGAGTTGGTAGACCATTAAAATTCCAGAAATATGAGACAAGATTCAGACAGTCCAACTGTATTTCTGTAATAAGCAGTAACCCTACAGAAATGCATCTGAAACTGGAAATGCAGCCTTCCTGGAGTATTCCATGTAGTGAAACAAAGTAAATCTGACAGCAGACTCAGGATTAAGACACAGTTTTGCCCTCTAACCATAAATGCAATCTCTCTGCACCGTAATGCACCAATTTCTTCTGCTACAGTAACAAAGAAAATAACAATGCTGCTATGGATAGGTGACAAACTTTCAGTCTAAATGGTTGTAACCCCCTTTCCTGCCTCTGTTCAAATACTAATAAATGCAAAATAGAAAACAGATCTGTGCCGAAAGAGAATGTAGGCATGTAGCTTCCAGTTAAACAGGACAACAGCCTACCAATCTCTAAAGCTGCCTAAACAAATGAGACATAACATCCTGCTTTTTTGAAGATGTTTATTGATATAAGCATATAATAAATTATTAAAATCTTCCCAAGCATGGGTAACTTGCTTCTATTTTAGCGTAACATGAAGGATAGCAGAAATCTCAAGGAATCATCCCAATTAGGATTTGGAGAATAAAACAAAGTCATAATTTCTTCAGAGGGCTTATGGTTTAGATACATTATCTGGCCTACACTTAGCAAAAAACCCGTCCATATCAGTGGGCCTTCAGAGCCTTTATTCTAGGCTTCCTCAGATTCTGGTGCTTCTGCTCTAGGAGTGAGTCCTGAAAGGTTTCTGTAAAGTAACAGAAAGCTGAAATTTTTCAGAGTATTCAGTACTTTGATGCATATGGCACTGCTCTGTATCAATGTATGCATTCTATGAAGGAGTTTGCATGAAATAAAAGGAGTATAATGCAAATAAGTCCGCTTTGCTCCACTCCAAATGTCTAATGCTAGCAAAGGCCAATACAATTAAACCAATTATTATGGAAATAGTTAGTGTTGCTATTTTAAAAGTTTTTACTCTTCAGCACTACCATCCTAGTGAAAGGATGAGCTTGGACTTCTCTAAGTTTTGGTAAACCAACTGCAACCCTTACTTGGGATACGCTCCCTGTGATCTAATGAAAGCCCACAATGCAGAGCACTGTTTTATTGCAACTCACTGTTGCAAGTTACTTGTCACAGCACATGTGATCGCTTGATTGCATTTCACACAGGTCTGAATGGAGGATGTGATTTCAAAAGAGATTTTGCTCACTTACAGCAGAAAGCCAGCACAAAATCACACACGGATTCAGCTGTACAACCAGCTGTCAGGTTGTTGCCAGTGTTAGGTAGAGGCCTGTACTGTAAGGACCTCCAGATCAAAGCAGGCAAACATGCATACCATATCCGACACATCTATTACATCACAGGTGGTTTTTTTGAAAGCTGCAAAGGATAAATTAAATTCTCTTACGTTACATATCCTTTTCTTTCCACTACCATATTTCTTTTCTGTTCAGTAATTACAGCTTAGCAGAGTGAAAACTAATACTGCACGACGCTACAGTAAACCTGATACCAACGAAGAAGCCAAAACAGAAAAGCCTTATAGTGGTAAAAGTTTGCTAGGTATCAAGCTGACTGATAAGGTTATGCCTCACTTGAGTGTTAATTTTACAAGCAGACTAGAATTGCTTTTTCTCTCTCTGTAGTTGTTTCTCATTGCCTGCATTTTTGTTTTCTTCTGTCCAAAACAAAAAAAAACAAAACAAAACCAGGCCTGGACTTACTACAGCAAAACACTGAGCACCAACACAACTCATCCAATTCACTTGCTTTTTTTTTTTCCTCTGAAAGTATATCTCCCTTAATCACATCTAAAAGGCTGTAATTTCTGACACACCCACCCAAACAAGCAAAACATACACCTGCTTTGAAACTTTTGTGTTTGTTTGCAAATGTTCATAAGCTGAGGCTCCTATATACAAAACTGCAAATACTGCTTAAGCATTGAGTATCACCCCTGCACGACCTTCAGATGTGTTTGCTCGCGAGTGCATTTACCTTCCCCACTCTTAGCCCACTGAATGTCACACACACAAAATCCTCTCTTGAGTCGCCAGCTCGTCCTCCCTACCACAGATTGCGGTATATGAGGAAACAAGAGTTTCAAATTCTAGTGGAAAGCATTGTACAAGTCAGAATGAATTAGGGTCTTGCTTGTCATATTTTTTGCCCTAAGTCTTCCTTTTTGAGGAGGAGAGATTTCATTATTAATGTTCTGAATTGCAATTCATCATGAAGTAACTGCTAAAACGTACACTTAAAGGCTTCAGAAAATGTGAACTGGGGACTAAAATTTGATACAATCCTGTAGCAAGTATTATACTTTTTTTGTTGTTGTTGTTACAGAACAGACTGATAAATTAATAAATAAAATAAATCAATCTTAAACTTGTCTTAAATTAATCTGGGTCTTGGATTACCTACCATCCCACACTGTGATAGTTTTTGCCTACTTTATATTAAGAGAATCCACAGATTCTTGATGCCATCAGGCTTTCTGAAAATGTCTTTACTTTTGGTTGTAAATAGATATTTCTTTATTTCAAGAGACCTTTTTTAAATGCAGCAAGAATCTAATATGGCTACTGCCTGTTTCTGTAACTAGTTGTGGAAAATTGGAAGGGCAAGCATAGTTTCTTGTTTTCTAAATATTTGACCTTAAGTATTTTTGTGTAGCAGGAAGTGTATTTGTTCTGATGATGAAAGCTAACTGTAGATTAGCTATGTAGTGTTGTGTCAAAATATGTACAGTTAATTTTTAAGAATTATTTGATACTTGCTTGTAAAACCAGCTGATGTTTTGCATATAATTTTCTTATACAAATCAAGGCATTGAAATTTAAGAAGTTCTCTTTGCTGGGGTGGAGTGATGGTGGAATTACAGCACTCATTGCAGCTGCAAAGTATCCAACTCTTATCCACAAGCTGGTCGTCTGGGGAGCAAATGTCAGCGTTACTCAAGAGGACGTGAGAATTTATAATGGTACGTACAAACTGAATATCGTATCCTAAATAAATTGTTTTCATTTCTTCTTGACCTAAGAATTTTAGTCATGTGGCTACAGAGTTGAGGACACACGAAAACTAAAGAAACGGGACACAAAATTCACTAAGTTCCTAAGTATAGGGGTAGGTAAAAGTGTTAGTGAGAAACTCCCTAACAATTACTCTAGTGGTAATGTAATAGAATTTGTAACAAGTCTTTCCTAACTCACACTACTGAAAAAGCACAATAGCTTATCAGTAGTTTTCAGCAAATCAAATTTTTATTGCTGTAACAAATTCCTAAAACTAAATACCTAATAATATTACTGACCTTAGGCTTAGTTTCTTCTCTTACATCTTGCACAACCTTCAAACAAGGTCCACAGAAAATCACTGGGCTAGCACATAACAGCTTTTGCCTCTAGGGCCTATATAATACAAGAGCAGTAAGAAAACAAGCTCATAACTTGCCATTTGAGTTCAGGAAGCAAATGAATCATTCAGAATGTCCCAGGATGCCTTTCTAATTTGCATTCCTTTGAAGTTAATTTTTGTGGTTACAAAACCTTTCCAAAAAAAACCATGGGATTTCTGATGCTTGTTCCACTTATATGAAATAGAATCAGCTCACTTGCCACTCTAAAGGAAAATAGCAAAAACTGCTAGTGAATTCAAAAAGGGACCGTATTTCCTTTTGCAAGTAGAAATTAAGAGTTAACTATGCATGCTTTCAACAAATGTCACCTAGTATAGTTTCCTTTTAGTGATTGGAGTTTGACTTACACCAATTGTGAAATCTAGCTGGCTAGCTTCAGCAAATTACAAGTGTAAATACATATTGCACAGGTGTACTTACCTATACTAAAGCACTTTCAGTGGTAGTAGTATACTTTTTACTTCAATAAAAAAAAGTTATTTTTAATTCTGTAAATGTGCTGCTTTATTTCTTTAGATGCTTTATATTTATATAATTATAAAATGCGTATCAGTTAGTATTAGCCAATAGGCTAAAATGTAAAAAAACAAACCAAACCAATCACAACCCCCTCCAAACAAACAAAAAAGAGAAATAAAAAAAGAAGTCTTACTGTACATGGAGCACCCACAGCAGTGCTGACCTTTGGCCTCTTCATGGACTGTTGCTTTCAATATCTCTCTCTCTCTGATGGTGTTCAGAGAGTACCAGCACAAACCTTCTACAGCTGGCCCATCAGTGCACCTCAGTTGCATGGTAGCAGGAAAAGGTATTTGTTGGTAGCCTGTGTCCTTTCAATATTGGCTTCCCCAATACCCTCCCCTTTTTAAATTAAGGCTAGCCACAAAGATAAAACTGCAGTTTCTAAAAGAGAAACAGCTGTTCAGTAACATATTGCCTGGGGTGAGCAAACTCATTTCCGATCAAATGCTGTTATAAAACACTTTCAGTCACTGCTACCTTGCTCATTTGGCTGAGCAAGTTGGGTTCGTTAATTAACACCTCACTCCTTTCTTCCCTTAATTCCCATTTGAAACCAATTAAAAGCTCATCTAGTGGCATATATTGCTGTTTGACAACCTAATACCCAGGTCTCTTTCAGGTTCTCTGCTATGCCAACATTATTTTGGGCTTTATCAATAGAGACTTGTACAGCTGAAATATAGTTCAGTGAAAGTCACCCTTGTGGGTATCTGATTTGTGAGCAGTACTGAACTTCTGAGAGGAAAAGTTTGGTAAATCTGATAAATAAATACTTAGAATGTCAGATTATTTGTACAGCTTTAGCCATCCTGCCATGAGTCACAGGACTCTACTGAGTTGCTTGTTTTTCTGTAAGACTATGGCAAATGTACCATGATGTCAGCCTGCTGGAATGTGTTAGTAAGAGCTTTCTTCCTCTGAATATCTGAATACTGGTAGAAGCTATGGAAGAACTTCCATCCATGAGCCAAAGAAAAGGGCTGAAGGATATAAAAAGGAATTGCCAGCTCTGGCACACGGTTGTAAAACAGACCCCATTTTATACAAAAGTACCTCCTTAAACTCCTCTTCTGCAAGCCTTCCAGAAAGAAACATCGGAAGTTCTAGGACTGAGTCGTTTGATTATTGGGCATGGCGGTTTTTTTCTGTTGTTCCTTGTAACCTTGTAATAACAAGAGGCTCTTCTGCAACTCAGAAATACTCCAGTAGAGATCGTAAAAGTACTTTTTTTATACCCTCTCTATACTATGAACTATTCAAAACCATTCAGTACAGTTTCTAGTTTGAAATACACATCTGCAATTTAGTTTGAAAATTTACTCATATCAGTATTGGGTTATACCTTCTTGCTGGGAAGGACTTAACATATTTCAATGTTATTTTATGCAGGCATCAGAGATGTTTCAAAATGGAGTGAAAAGATCAGGAAACCACTGGAAGAGTTGTATGGGCATAAGTACTTTGCAAAAACCTGCGAGGCTTGGGTAGATGGAATATCTCGCTTTGCTGAAAATTCAGATGGTAAGGCTTTTACAATGTTAAACTGAAGCAATTATAGTAGCTGCCAGTGCTGGATGAAAAAACTAACAGTACTCCTAGCAGCCAGTAAAAGAAGGACTCTGAATATGGCATTAAAAACTGGATCTGACTCACGCTCATAAATAAAGCAGTTATTTTGTAGATTGTTCACAGAACCAGCAAGGTACAGGAGGAAAACACATTTATAGGAAGCATTAGCTGATGAGTCTCTCCTCTTCTTCCACCACAAAAAAACATTATTAAATCATTGCTTTTGTACAGACTGAACAGGACGGCTTCTGCTCAAGCTTTTTTCTCCTCTCTCAGTGTCAAAGGATCAGCTCTTAGTGACAATGTTAAGATATCCCCAAAGAGAGATGTGCTCACTCCTGTTTCTGCAAACAGGAGCTGAAGCACAATTTCAAACCTAGCGTATATAAGTTAAAAAAGAAGGAAGTTCAGATTTGGGGAACTCAGGATTAACAGAACAATTTCAAAACCCAATATTTACGCAACTTAGGTGTTTAAAAATAAAAATTAAAAAAGAGTAGTTAAACTAGACAATTATTAAATGTTTATCTTGGAAGATTTCTACAATTATTCTACATAGACTTTTGCAGCCAAGGTTATAATGAATACTAACCTGCAGTTCTGTTTTCATTCAGAGGAAAAATGCTTTTAATTTGCCTAAAGCAAAAATGCATAATGTACCCAATACATGAAACAAGGAGCGTGTAATTCTCTTATACACATTTTCCCTTAGCTCTCAGAATGAAAGACAGGAGGTGACATATGTTAACAGCAGGTACTACAGGGAAAACATTCCTTCAATTCTTATTTTTTTCCAGAGTTTTATATGGGATCAGCAACATGGTATTAGAATTTCTCCCAGTAGAGTGATGTAACAAATTAGGATTGGATTTTATTTTACCCTTTCTAGGATGTATCTCCTTAAAAGTAGTTTATTCTTAAGCCCAAAGCCCAGGCTGGTGAAACTCTGGCTGTGATATCTTTCTACTGTCTGCACATACTTCAGACACTCTTGAGATGGAGGTGACTGTGAAAAACAAGCCACCTGGAAGCATGTAACAAGAGGCTGAATTACCTAGATGCTGTAACTGGGTCAGATATTGGGAGAAGTCTATAGCATTTGCAAAAAAGATGAGTGATTATCAGGCTACATGTTCTTTTTCAGACATAGCTTGGGGAGGGCAACTTCAGACTACAAGCAAGCCTCCCTGGAATTAAAGACATGCTGCACAAAAGGTGCAGATGTGGCAAATACAAGCAAAGGGGTTAGTAAAGCGCATCAGAGAGAAAAGGAGGACAGCAAAACCTTTGTTGGTCAAAAAAACTCAACTTCTTTTTGAGAAATAGACTATTTGCCCTAAAGAGGAGAGCTTTCAGTGTGAAATGCCATAAGAGATGAACTTTTAGAAGGTGCTACACTTAATAATACTAAGTTGCAGAGTAATTATAATCTAGGGGTTATAGTACAAAACAGTTTCAGGACTGGAAACTAGGAAATAATAGTTTGACTACCAACTCTGTCCTTGGGTAAATAACCTGAACTTATTTGTTACATGTTCTGAAAAATAGTTAACATTTGTGCAAATGTTTTAAAACTGTGGGTGAAGTGTTCTAAATTAAAATATTTAACCAGTAGAACTGCAAGACTATATAAATAACCAAACAGTTGGGAAAATTGTGGAACAGTATATGACTTTAGAGCTAGGGGAAGTGTAGCATATATGAGCATTAACTGTAAACTGTTGGTAGCTGCAAGGAGACAACTACAAATAGCACAGAGTTAACACAAGGATAAATGGAACATAAAACTCGTTGAGTTTCTTTTGGCCAAAGATTCTCTTGTGAGAGTATGGGAAGTGAGGCAGTTTGGGAACTAGATTACTAAGGAATGAGGAAAAAAGACAGGAAAATAGAAGTCTTTAAGAATATAAGTTACTTCTTATAAGATTAAAGAAAGCATTAAATTGAGGTTCTGTAAGGTGAATGGGCAGGGAGAATAATCTTTGAATAGTTTTAGTGCAATTTGTATTAAATGGTTATTCATTGCAGACAACAAGGGGTCTAGAAGATAGCATAGGCATGAATAGGACCTAAGGTAATTTGTTGGTAAAAGTAGCAAAGGTTGTAACCTGATAACCAATGTAACAAAATGTAGCCTTAATATGAAGGCAATGGGACTCTAAGGCTGAAAAGAACAAAGCCAAGAGAGAGATGCATGTATTTGCTTTGGACAGCCAAAGAGAGCCTGGGGGGAATGTGGGAGAGTACTGCTTCATTCTGTCTAGCCGTTTGTGCTGGCATCCATGAATGAAGTAATTTCCAGTGAAGTAACATTTTGGGGAAAGAAACATTAATTATAGTCCTGATTACATAGTTCTATAAATTCACTGCATGCTATCCACAAAGAAGGGCAATAGCTAGAACCCAGTGGAGTTCACAGTCCTTTACAGAAGCAGTTTCAGCCTTTCATACTATTCTGAAACAAAGCGTGATTTTCATTTCTTTTCTCCTTAGGTAATATCTGCCAAGAGTTGCTGCCAGATATTAAATGTCCCACTTTTATAATTCATGGTGAGAAAGACTGTTTGGTTCCACAACCTCATGCAGAATACATTCATAAGCACGTCAAAGGTTCTCGGTAAGTTATATGATAGAGTAGTTATAAACCATTGTTGCAGAAATGAAGCAGTTCAAACCCACATTGTAAAACAAAATAAAGTATTTGAGCTATTTGTCTCTGCCATAAACAGAGCTATTCTAAACTTCCCTATAAAGTTACAATGCAAAGAATGTAGCTGGACTTTTCTTACAATATAGAAAGTATAATATTTGAATAAGCTCCTTCTTAAAGTAATCCAAAAGAAATTAAGCAAGATCCTTTTCCTTTTGCCACTTCACATGCAGAGCCAGACCCTAACATTTATTGAAAAAATCAAATTTCTTCTGTTTCTGTTAGGGCCATTGCATTCTTTTTGCTGCAAGAGGCCTTGTTTCTATCCCTATCAGTAGACCAATGCTATGAATGAAGAGAGACTCTCAGTTATTAGAGGGAAGCACAGAATACTGATGTTTGTTCTGCCTTGTTGATGTGAACAACCACCTCAAAAGTTGTTTTTTTTCCAAATGTCCCAGGAATTTTCAGTGAAAAAATGAGTTATATGTTTTTCTCTAAGTCAGCCCCACTGCTCATAAAAATGCATTATGCCACAGGGAACATGAGAACAAGAGATCTTTCTGGCAATCACATACAGGTGTTTTATGGCATGTCTGCTAGTTAATTACTCCCACATGCCCTGATCAGAGCTCCTATAATCCTGTTAGATCTCACTGAGCTCTGAAATGCTCCAGAGGCTAAGGCAAGTAAAAAAAAAAGTAGGCAGTGATCTAATAGCTTCTATTTGGAAGACAAGCCAAGGAGAAAACTGTTAGAAGTTGGTATCCAATAAAATGTAAATTGATTCTTTGCATGTCTTTGTGCTGAAGTGTTCCCCTCTATTTTTTAGAAATCAGACTAATTGTGTTCTCAGAAATTAATACTGAGGTACAGGGTCCCATTCTTCACTTGTTGCACTGGAAATGACATGGTCTATTATAAAGCAGAAGGGAAACCTTAAATTTAGCATATTTTCATTAACACATGCTTTTACCATGAAAAAAGAAAGCAAGCTTTTCTTGTTTTTATTTGTATCTAGCAGTAAAGTAGAAAAGGCTTCTGCAAAACACTGCTTGTTTCTCTCATGGTAAAAGTAAGCCATGATTCTGTATTTGCATGGCAAGAGTTGAATAGCATTGCAGTGGCTTAATAGCAGTAGCAAATAGCATATGTAGTGCTATAGGTTTGTGCACCTCCATGCTGCTTGGTCTTTGAAGAAACAGACAATGTAGTGCAGACAGAAGTACTAGAAGAGCTGGACATGTTCACAACACTATTGTTCTTTTCCATAAGACAAAACAAAACTGGTCACCACCAACAGGGGTGATTTAGGTTAGATACAATAAATTCTTTACTATGAGGATGGTGAGGCACTGGAAGAGGCTGCCGATATGTCCTGGGTTTAGCAGTAGCAGTCATTTTTCTCCTTCTTGGTAGCTAGTGCAGTACTGTGTTTTTGACTTTTGGCCTGGGAAAGGTGCTGATAGCACTGATGTTTTTAGTTACTGCTCAAATGTTTGGTCTGGCCAAGGACTTTCTGAGCCGCATGCTCTGCCAGGGAGGAGGGGAAGCCGGGAGGAAGCAGAGACAGGAAACCTGACCCAAACTAGCCAAAAAGGTATTCCATACCATAGCATGTCATGCCCAGGATGTAACTGAGAGTTACCCAGAAGGGCTAGGACTGCGGGGTTGGACAAGGTGCACAGTTGGGTGGGGCGAGTTATCAGTCAGCAGGTGGTGAGGCATTGTATTCTCTTCCCTTGTTATTTCCTTTATCATTACTATTATTGGTGGTAGCAGTAGTGATTTGTGTTATACCTTAGTTACTAAACTGTTCTTATCTCAACCCATGGGAGTTGCATTCTTCTCGATTCTCCTCTCCATCCCTCGGGGAGTAGGGGGAAGGAAAGAAGGGGGGCAGTGAGTGAACGAGCTGCCTAACTTTGTTTAAACCACTACACCATAAAAGTGGGAAGTGCTCCATTCCTGGCAGTGTTCAAAGCAAGTCTGGACAGGGCTTTGAGCAACCTGGTTTAGGGTGAGGCATCCCTGTCCATGGCAGGGGGTTGGAACTGGATGATCTTAAGGTTCTTTGCAACCCCAACCATTTTATGATTCCATGAAAAGAACAAAGATACCCCTTGCTGTAGTGGGGCTTAGACGATATGAAGACAACACAGCAAAGTATCAGTCA